AATTCGCTTTGTTTTTATTATTTTAATATCATACTAGAGCTTTTATTTTTTCTTATTAGCAAAATATAAATTAGTTTCCAGCTACTTTATTACTAATTACTTTTATTAGTTTCAAATCTTTATTATTTCTTTATTACCAGTAATAAGTAATAAAAAAAATAAGTGATAACGAGTAATAAGTGATCACTGTAATAAAATAATAATAAAACGATGAACATAATATGATATAGATAGGAGGAGTAGATCAGTTCGGCTCGTAAGTTCTGATACAATGAGCGACAAAACTTCATACGGATCAGAACCTATCACAACAGCTGTTTGAATAGTTCAATTCCAGAAATTGATCGAGTCAAGATTAATAACTTGTGTGACATTTTAAGAGTTACCTCACGCTGTCACTTGTAACGTCCTAAGAATATCTAGAGATAGTTCCTATAACTATTGAAGAGTCATCTAGGAATGGTACTTAGGCTAGACCATTTATTTTAGCGCTACTTGATTTAAAGAAATTTTGAATGGTTTCACGTAATCATTCATATTAATAAGACAAGATCAAGACTCACCGCTTAATGTAAGCATTATATGTGAGTCGTAAGGAACTAATCAGTGTCACTGGTAGTATGTCAAAGAACGGAGGAAAAAGATGACCCTTCACGGAACTTGAACCATGTACCTTCTGCTATCCGAACAGATGTCCTTAGCCAGTTTAATTAGAAGAGACATATTAATCTCCATTTGACATCGACGTATATCATTACTAACCCTAACATACTTAGTTGACTTATATTAAATGTCAAAGAAAGGCTTAATATTTATGATTAAGTTTAAGTTTTTCTATTTAACACTTCACTCGAATTTGGGTGATCAAGTAATAAGCATGAGACAAATACCACTTTATTTCGATGTTTTCTCTATAGAAAAATTCTATTTCGAAAATAACGATTTTCTATCAAGTTTGATGAAATGCTTTCAGAGTCGAGAAATCCATTTTCCTACCGTATTCGTTTAGCCAATCAGATATCAGCATGAATTTCTATTATTATTAGTTAAAAAGAAAGGTATATTGAATCTTGATGGACTGAGAAAAAAAATCCTTACTGAAATCTGATTGATTAAACGAATATTGTGGACAAGTAGATTGCTCGACACCGAAAATGTACGATCAAACTTTATAAAAAAAAATCCTTACTTTTGAAAAATAGGCGTTCTATAAGAAAATTATCAAACATTAAAATGAGTTTTTCTCACGCTAATCATTTAATCATCCGATTTCAAAGTAAAGTGTTAAACAGAGAAACTTAAATTTAATCTCAAATATTACATGAATCTTTGACACTTTCTATAATCAAACTAAGTAGAGGCTGCTGATCTTTTCTTATTAATATTAATGGTTTACTCAAACTACCTAAAATTTCTTCTAATCAAGTCATATTTAAAAATGGTCTAGATTAAGCACATCCATAAATAGCCTTTGAAAAGTTATTAATATATGGATTACTTTATTACATTTTCATGATCATTACTTATGACTTTTATTACCTTTCAAAATTGTTACTAATTACCAGTAATAAGTAATAATGTTGTTAGTTATTACTTATTTACCAGTAATAATCATGTAGCATCCTACTGGAAAAATATTTTTGTCTTGATTGAAAAAATCGAATTGAGTAGCATGACTCTCGTCTCTAGCTATAACCTGAATTTCTATTTAGTTTTCAAAAATCGTGAACATCGTAAGATTTACCCAGCACTACACCATCGTTCATAACCTCAGAACTTTTTCAACATAATTTGATGCATAGGTGTTGCACTTATCCAATCGACAACTTGTATTATCTGTTTTCTTTTATAACTATCTATATTTAATACATATAAAAATGGCATAAATAAATGCGTAATATATAAATAAACACTAAGAAAAAATCTTTTTCAATTAAGACTGATCATTGAATCAACTGTAGTCTTTTGTTTCTTTGGTTGTTGTTGTTGTTTTTAAAAACACCCTATGTACTTTTCTTTTGAATATTAATTAAGTTCTGTGTAACTATCGATAAATAATCACCAAGTAACATTACTTCTATTTTTACCGCTGTCAATCAATATTATGCTGTTACTAGCTACTATCTGTTTAGTGGTGAAAGCTCGTGGCAATATGTACAGAAACATCTGTGTTTTATCTCATTGAAATATATTTCATTTAACACGAATCTTTACTTTTTCATGAACTATAGGAAATATATGACGACGACGAAGACGAACTCTGACTATTGAGGAAAATATTTGAAGTCAAATATTAGAAATAACTTTGACAAACGCATTACTCTAATGATAACAAAGAAGCTGATCATCGAAATTTATAGCAAAAAATCTATTTCTATCAATGAGAAATTTGTTGATATCTAGATTCACTTTCAAGTTTAATTACTCTAGTTAATTTGAATATAAATAATGACAGAATGAATTATGAATTCAAGAAATTATTTAGTAATTGATCAGTTGTACCTAAAGAAATTGACTCTACATTTGTTGAAATATGATCTAATGAAAGTGTATGAGGAATATTAAAAACAAAAAAGTATGAGGAGAATAATTTTCAAGCTTCAAACAACTAGAAACTACACTGAACAACGAACAAAACAAAATACTTTTTAAAATTTGTCAAAAAATGATCAGAAATTTTCTCAAAAGACTTAGCAAATTTATAAAAAGTGATGGACAATAAATACAACATGATAGTTAAATGAGATTTTTGTGTAATCAGATTAATATAAGAGTATTTTTCGTTTCTCTTAATAGAATATCTTATTCATCGATTGCGAAAAATTTATTTTCACATACTCATGCTTATATTTCTATTATTACAAGCGAAGATATTATCGAATAATATGTTATTTGAAAGACTAACGCGAGTAATCAAAACTCATATAAAAACATTCGACTAAGGGTTATTCTGTGTACATATAAACTAATTTTGGCGCGCCTCAAGACGACTTATGAAACACCCTGTATTGATGCAAACAAGTAACAAATACAAAAATAGTAAAAATGAATATTTAATGTTTATCTATCAGTAATTGCAAGTTCAGAGATAGAAACATGAAAAATAATTTATTGACTGTAATTTAGTATGTAAATAAAGTCGAATATATCTAATGGATTTTTGAAAGCATATTTTCACGTTATAGCTAAGATCATGATGATAATACGAGTGATGATATGTTCATAATTAAGTGACTAGTCAAGGAAGTACTAGCAGCTAATGTAAAATTTTTTAGCATTTCTTTTCAAAAGAATATTGATTAACGATTTCAATTAGAATTATATTCAAGCATTGTTTTTCATAGATTTTTAACTTATGATCAGTTCAAATGTGACATTCATTACGAAAAAATAAATATTTTATTATCAATAGTCATGAAAATGAGAATGTATAAAGAAATCTTGAAAAAAGAAACAAAGTAATCACATATAGACACATTTCCTATTGATCATATTGAAAAACTATTTAATCCTATAATATGATTTAACATTTTCTATAATTTAAAAAAAAGGAAACAAGTTTTTTCATATTGATTTCATTGTATAATTGATTAATAATAAAATATCAGACTATTATATGTTAATCTTATACTACAAAGCTGAGTAAACTTGCTCTTTCAACTTTTCTATTCGTAAATTATCCTTTTTGATATACACAAAAAAATTATGAAAACAAAAACAACAGACTTCTAGTGAACTTGCTTTATATACTTGTTAATTAAATGTTAAATTTATTATGTAAATATATTCTTTTTTTTAGTTACATACATGTTAAAGTGTCCACTAAATATCTGATGAAGTATCAAGTGTAACAAAAAATATATATTTGATTAATTATTTTCATGAAAAAAAGAAAAAGCAGATAATTTTTTATTTACTTTATAAATGTATAAATCATTGAATTTCAAAAACTTTATTATCGTTCGTTCAATATAATTATAGATAAACGAAAATATTTTCTCAATAATAAAGAAAAAAAAATAACATTTCTAATTTCAGCTTATTAAATAATACGTTTCATATTACTTCAAATGTGTAAGAAAAAGAATAGCAATTGAAATGAATGAAAACAAGACATAAGGATATATACATTCATAAAAAGAATACGAAACGGGACGCATGTCAAAATTCAGTCACTAGAGATATTAAAAAAAAAGAAGATGTTACAATACAATATCTAAATCACCTAATCAATTTATGCAAATAATAATCAGTCTTTATCATATTCAGACAACAAGTATCAATTGTGTTATTCAACTTTAGTTCGTTTGATCAAAGATCATTAATTCAGTTATTTGATGACACAAGAATTTGCATGTAGATCGTTATATTTATCCTTGAATAAACATAAGTATGCTTAATTATGAAATACTATTTTTTTTTTGTCAGTAAAATATAATACCGCATTTTTTTGTCATTCTATGAGCACCAATCCGAGCGTTAATCATTAGGGACCCATTGATTTTTACACCTTTTCTTACATCAAACATTATTCCATGTGATTTTTCTTTTTTTGTAACAATCATTAGAGACGATTGCAATATTGAATGACCGAAATTATGTATGAAAAATGTATTCTAGATTGATTAAAAGCATAGAAAATTTTCTAGATCAAATTATTGCATTGTAGACAAGTAAAAGACTGAATACATGGCTTTAACATTATCAACAACGATTGCCTCTAGCGAAGCAGACAGTAGAAAGAAGATAATTAGGATCCCATTAGTGACGAGATGCGAAATTCATGTTTTGTTTTGTATTTTTTTTACAGAAGTCCATCAACAATTTATATTCTAAGCATATGCCATACATGAAGGAAAAAAGATCAATTTTTTTTTCCCTTTAAAATATTGCTTAATACTGAAAAAAAAAAGAATCAATGATTATTTCATTGAGCAATAAATTTTCTTATTAAAAAATTTTTTTAATAACAAATAAACAAAAAAAAAAGTTTCTCTTATTTACACAATACGCAATGGAAATGTTGATGTACTTATTTGTTGATCGATTCCATCAGATAATAAAGGTTCCATATCACCTTTTTTAATTTTTCCAATTAATAATTGTTTCCATGCTAAATAACGTTTTTCTTGTGCAATATCTTCATCTGTATCTCCAAAATAAAAATTTTCCATTTCACTTCGACGTTGTTTATATAAACTAAATGTAAGTAAAATAATTGTTAATATTAAATAAGAAATAATAATAAAAATAATATATGTAATTGGACTTGATAAAGATAATATTGATGGAGAATTTGTTTTATTTAATGTATGATTTAAATTCAGTAGAATATCATCATAATATGAATGATTTAATGATATTGATGATGAATCAAAATCATCTTCTTCATATGATAACGGAAAACTATCAGCATTATAATAAACATCATCATTTCGATGAATTATTGTTGAGTTTAACATTTCTAGAATGATCATTTAGTTTTTATTGACTTTACAGAATAAAAAAAAGAAACCATAATTAGTGTAAAGTATATTTACTTAAGTAACGGGATGTTTGTTTATTATTTTTATAAGGAAGTTTAGTAAATAAGGATTTGATAGTTTTAAATGTTTTACCTGTACATTAAATACCAATGATTATTCTCTAGTCTATTGAATAAAAGAATAAAATGTTCCAGGGTCTATTGTTATGTGTTAAGTGGCAATTGTTTGATAAAATGGAAATGAATTGTTAAGAGAGGAAAAAAACAATAAATATAGTACTTATTCGTCTTAATAATCTATTCTTTTATCATTAGAAACTGACTGTAATAGTTGAAAATTAGTATGAGAAAAATTATTTTTCATTTATTTAAAGAAATTTATGAGAAACTTTATCAATCTTAAAGTTACTAATCCAAGATATATCAAAAAGAAATTTTATTGATTTTTTTTTTCTTCGTATTATATTTGTGATTTAAATAATATAAAAGATAATGTTGAATAATTATTATATGTTATTTAACGATGGCCTCAATGTCATTCATTCACTAGTTTATTCTACTACTTACTCATTTGCCATTCAGTTACTTATGGAGAGAGAAAATTGTTTCTTCTTTTTGTGTTAGCAGAACCGAAAGAAAGAAGGGGAGTGTTAAATCCGCATACTGATTGGGATGACGACGACTGCAAGGAAATTTCTTCTCTCTCTCTCTCTCTCTCTCTCTCTCTCTCGTCTCGCTTAATATTCACGACTTCAGTGTTCTTGTTCTTTGCTCTGTATTTCTCTTCAGGCATTGACTATCGACGATCATCATCGAGTACCATCTGTTGTAGCTCGGATAGTCTATCTCGTGTTTCGGTCTAGATAGAAATTGTGAAACGAGAAAAAAAAAGAAAAATCGAATTTTCATGCACAAGCAAAAGATTATTACCGCTATTTGCTGCATCAACAATCATATTAGAAAAACAGGCAGTCAACATGCATTTTATAGTGTCAAGCAGAAGGAAATTTTTCTGTTCGATTGACAATTGAGTTTAAGGGGAAAAAGACTTGTAGTGTTCCTCTTTGACGAATAATCAAATACAAAAATTTTTTATTCACAGATGAATGAAGAAAGCAGAAAGAATGAATACTGCAATATGTTTTCATGTAGAAATTATATATCAAAATTAATTTTTAGTATTCAATAACAAGTTATTTATGACAATGATTGAATTTAATAGCTTTGTTGAAATAAAAAATAGTTACATGATTAATTTAAAGCATTCAGATATAAACAATAGAAATCTTTCGAATTATGATGATTCTTATACAAAAAATTGTGTTTCTTTATCATTTGTTTAACAAAGAAAATAGAAATTTATATTGTTAGATGATAAATATTCGTCAACAATAACTCATAATTATACAGTGTATTTTAACAACATAATAATAAATAAGTATCATTACGTTCTACTTTTTTTCTATACATCAACAAAAGAAAAATCTTTATTATGATTTTATTTTTATTCATAATTGTTCATTTAGTTTATTATCGATCAAAGTTATAAAATAATATGAAATGAAATTACTTATGATTCTAATATGAACATGAGGTTGAAAAATAATATTTATAATGTTTTTTTTTTTAGTAATATTCAATAAGTGAAAGTATAATACTAATGATTATTCAAACATGAATAATGGATGATGTCTTAGGATAAAAATATTGATCGACTGTCTATAGAGGATTATTATAAAAGTCAGAACTTATTTCTTCTTCTTTTTTTTTTAAATAAAATTAAACGATAAATACATGGATTATAATACTAGTAGATCTATTTAATTATTAATGAACTTGATAGTATCATATTGAAAATAGTAATTACTATATTTTCTTTCAAATCTACCACTTCTTAGAATTATAAACTTTTGAAAACGTTTATTTCGAGAGTGTTGAGATAAGATTATTGTAAATTAGTTAAAAATATCAGTTAAATAGACGCCAAATGGCTGTTTGGAAATTTATTCGTATTAAGATACAAACTAGCATGTAATTAAAGACTTGCTATTTTCTTTCTATATCATTTGTTGTCAATCAATTTGGAAGTAAATCAGGTATGGGAACGTTTCTCTTTTATTCTTCAATGTGTTCCCTTCCCCCTAGCTCTAAACTATATTATCATCAAAATACCTCTTTATGTGACGAATTTTTAGACTTCATGGTTCAAATAATTAGATTCAGATGATGTTTCTATTAAGCGATGGCTAAAACAAACGGTAAATCTAACAATATTTATCTGTACATTATGCTAAATTGATGAATCATGTTGTAAAAAACAAAAATGACAGCTCGTTGAAAAGCATATGATCAAAAAGTAACATCGAACAATTTAATATTAAAGAAAATTCTATATTTATTAATCGAACCGAGTAAACTCTCATTCAACCAAAAGAAGGTTCTTCAATCGTCAACTATTTCAATGGCAACACTTACTCATCATACTTGAGAATATTAGCTTTTCTGATCAGATGACGTGTGCTGAAATATAATGGACTATGAATGCAACACATCATAGACAGTTATCAATTATTATGTGATTTTCACGATCTTGGAAGAAATATCAAACAATGTGATTGATTTGGGCTATACTTCGACGAACAAAAAGATTTTCAGAATACTAAGTAATTGGATTTGTTATTAAAAATACTGAAGTATCAAAACACAAGGTGTCGTTACTTGTTACGATAAATCTGTACTTCTTGATAGGATTGTTAATTCATTTCGAATTGTTGAATTTGATATTGAGCGTTTATTTATGAGCGAACGAGTTAGATTTCGAAAAACTAGATGGTGAATTATTCAAAATAGATTTGAGCCATAGTCATATAATCCACAATGTCTATTTAAATCTGATAAGAAATCGATAAGAGAATATTTACAAAAAATATAGTTCAATCAAATCTTGTTTATCATCACACATCTCGATAACTCATTTATTATTTATTTCTTACTGATGCCATTCAATTTTTGACAAGTTTTTATCGTTATTTTAAAAAGTTGGTCCAATGTTGTACATATGATATCACGAATAATTGGATGTACATCGCACTGTTTTATTATTATTTTCACCAATAGTCTATGTTCGAAATAAACCGATACATATTTGGACGGGAGAGAAAATCTTATAAAATTGTTCATCGATTTTTCCATTTCCATGAAAACATTCGACATTCATTAGTATTATTGTTCAAAGGTGAAAAAGAAACGTTTTTCTCCAGATATCAAAAGTATTTAACTATCGATTGCTACGTCTTTAAAAATAAATCCTACATTAAACAATTCATTTTTGTGTGAGACAAAAAAAATCAAGAGTTTCATATCGTTCTGATTCTCAAAGCACTGATATTATGATTCTTAATGATTGGTTTATATCTGATTTACTATTATCAAGAAAAATCAATAAACGAGCTTCATATTACCTGTGATTCTATTGAATTTTTAGGTTATGGATCGATCTATGTAGTAAAGAGTTATAAAAATTCATAAATGGATACAGTGAAAGATTAAAGTCTTTGCTTCCAATGTCGACTAGTATAAAAATGCTTCTTGCATTACAAAAAAATCGGTTACATCCTCGCAGCAAGAAAAGAAACCGCGTGAAAGGATGTGAATCTAGAAAAAAAGTATTATCTTAGTAAGAATAATAGTTTATCTAAAGATATGAAAAACTTCAATCGGAATAGTAGAACGTCTTAGTTACCATACAAAGAGAAAAATCAGCCTTTGAAAAATTCCTTAAAAAAGCGGTAATGTTTTTTGACATATAAGTCGCATATGCATTGAATAACATTGGAACAGACAAAATAAAATCTATTGACAAAGATTTTGGAAAATGTGTCAGTAATGCAACAAATAAACAAATTTATGCTGAATATGAATAATAAAAAAATTAAACGTAAATTCAATCCTGAACAATTAATAGCAACAGAAAAAGAAAGTTGACGATAGCTAATTATGTCTTTTCTTAATCAAACAATTAGATGATATGATTTTTGTGATCAGCAGCATGTTTTACTTTTGATTTGTTACTTCTTTTTCTTCTAAGTAATTGCTTGGTCACTTGTCTTTCATTGAAACAAATGAGTAAACATTTATTTATATTGTGATAAATGTTTATTCATACCTTCTACAGAGTACTAATGGAATGGAAATTTTTTAGAATTTCTTTTCCATGACAAAACTTAACTCCTCTATTTCTCTTCCAATTTTAAAGCATATCCTCCAAAGTTTTTCAGTATACATCCTTCGCTTTTTTTTTTAAAATTAAAGGTCACATGCCAGGATTAAGCATCTAGATTTAAATCGTATCCGTCGAAAAGTCTCAGAGAGAAAAGAAGAGAATAAGATTGAAAACACTGAGCACAACCATATAGAGAAAAAGTTATATTATGCTATAAATAAGATATCATTTTACTTGTTTCTGTAAATTTTTGGCATTCTACAAGAAAACGATTTCATTGAAACTGTATTTATACTTTTCGTTTATGAAAAAGTTAACATTTATTTCTTCCTTTCACAATAAATATTATAAATTCAATTAATCGATTAACATTAAAAAAAAATCAGTCTTTTAAACAAGTCGAATAATATATGCTATAATCGTCACTATTTTGTGATGAAATTTCCGAAGAAAATGATAAAAAACTTTGTTGTATCATCTACATGAAAAAGTTTAGAGAAAGACTATTTATTTAAAACCCTCAGGAAAAACCAATGGATACCAGAGTCTATCTTCTTGTCTCCTAATTACTTTGAACTTCACCGTAAAATGTAAAAAATCTCAGGAAAACAGTCTTTGATTCAACTGAAACATTGAATTTAGAAAAAGATTCGACTTCTCGAGGCAAATCATTGTCGAAATGAAAACATTATCATGATCCAGTAAGAAAAAACGAAGACGATATTCTATATGAATCAAATCTTTCAATAAAACTT